ACAAAGTTCAACACCCATTCATGATAAAAACTCTCAACAAAATAGGAATAGAAGGGAAATTCCTCAATATAATTAAGGGCATTTATACAAAGCCAACAGTCAACATCATCCTAAACGGAGAGACTTTGAAAGCATTCCCCTTGAGAATGGGAACCAGACAAGGATGCCCTTTATCACAACTCTTATTAACATTGTGCTGGAGGTCCTAGCCAGAGCAATTAGGCTAGAAAAAGAAAGAAAGGGCATCCAAACTGGTAAGGAAGAAGTCAAATTTGCAGATGATATGATTTTATACACAGAAAACCCCAAAGAATCCACAAGAAATCTACTGGAACTACTAGAAGATTTCAGCAAAGTTTCAGGATACAAGATAAATATACAAAAATCAGTTGGATTCCTTTACACCAACAAAGAAAACCTCAAAGAGGAAATCACCAAATCAATACCATTTACAATAGCCCCTAAAAAGATAAAATACACAGGAATAAATTTAACCAGAGACATAAAAGACCTACACAATGAAAACTACCAGACACTACTGCAAGAAACCAAAAGAGACCTGCATAAGTGGAAAAACATAACTTGGTCATAGATGGGTAGACTCAACACTATCAAAATGTCAATTCTACCCAAAGCGATCTACAGATACAATGCAATCCCGATCCAAATTTCACTAGCATTTTTAATGAGATGGAGATACAAATCACCAACTTCATATGGAAAGGGAAGAGGCCCCAAATAAGTAAAGCATTACTCAAGACGAACAAGGTGCGAGGCCTCACACTACCTGACTGTAGAACCTATTATACCACCACGGTATAATACTGGTACAAGAACAGATACATAGCCCAATGGAACAGAATTGAGAATCCAGACATAAATTCATCCACCTACGAGCAGCTGATATTTGACAAAGGCCCAAAATCCATTAATTGGGGGAAAAAAAGTCTCTTTAACAAATGGTGCTGGCCTAACTGGATATCCACCTGCAAAAAACTGAAACAAGACCCATACCTCACATCATGCACAAAAACTAAATCAAAATGGATCAAAGACTTAAATAGAAAATCAAAAATGATAAAGGTCATGGAAGTAAAAACAGGGACAACACCAGAAGCCCTAATACATGGCATAAACACAATAAGAACCATAAGTAACAATGCACAAGCACCAGAAGAGAAACTACATAAATGGGAGCTCCTAAAAATCAAACACTTATGATGATTAAAAGAGTTCACCAAAAGAGTCAAAAGATAACCTACAGACTTGGAAAAAAATTTTGGCTCCAACAGATCTGATCAGCATCTAATTTCTAAAATCTACAAGATACTGCAAAACCTCAACAACAAAAAGACAACTCAATTAAAAAATGGGCAAAGGATATGAACAGGCACTTTGCCAAAGAAGACATTCACGCGACTAACAGACAAATGAAGAAATGCTCACAATCAATAGCCATTAGAGAAATGCAGATCAAAACTACAATGAGATATTATCTCAACTCAATAAGGCTACCATTAATCCAAAAAACACAAAATAATAAATGCTGGAGAGGTTGTAGAAAGACGGGAACACTTATACACTGTTGGTGGGAATGTAAAATGGTACAACCACTTTGGAAATCGATTTGGTGCTTCCTTAAAAAGCTAGAAATAGAAGTACCATACGATCCAGTTATCCCGCTCCTTGGAATATATCCTAGAGAAATAAGAGCCGTCACATGAATGGATATATGCACACTCATGTTCATTGCAGCACTGTTCACAATAGCAAAAAGACGGAAACAACCTAGATGCCCATCAACGGACGAATGGATAAACAAATTATGATATATCCACACAATGGAATACTATTCAACAATTAAGAAGAATAACGAAGCCATGAAACACACTGGGGTGAAGAACTCAAATTCTAGTAAAAAGGCCAGACTTAATGGTCTAACTGAGACTGGAGGAACCCCGGAAAGCATGGCCCCTGGATTCTCTATCAGCCCAGAACTAAAACAATTTCCGAGGCCAACTCTTCAGACAGGGATTGGACTGGACTGTGGGACATAAAGTGATACTCGTGAGGAGTGTGTCTCTTATCTCAAGTAGATACAAGAGACTAAACGGGCAGCTTCTGTCCAGAGGTGAGATGGGAAGGCAGAGAGGGTTAGGAGCTGGTTGAATGGACATGGGGAATTAGGGATGGAAAAGAGGAGTGTGTTGTCACAGTATGGGGAGAGCAATTACAGTCACATAACAATGTATGTATAAATTTTTGTATCGGAAAAAATAAAAACTTTTATGAAGAGTTTAAATTTCAAAGATTTTATGAATAGAAAGGATAAGAAAATTAAGAAAGAATGGTATGCAGTTCATTTGGGAAATGAATGGAATTCAGGAAGATTTATGTATCTGATTAGCCAAAAGAGTAAAGAGCAATCAAAGTAATTACATCACTCTACGGCTCAAATTCTTCCATCTTCCTTTGCAATATTTACTGAATCCCTGGCACAAAGAAGAGAATCAAGTAAACTTTACTGAGTGCCTAATTACAATGCAAAGATTTATGCAAAGCAGGCACTGTGGGGAGCTAGAACAACGAACCATCAAGATCCCAGTCTTCAAGGAGCTTAAATTTAATAGAGATTGTAAAAACGTATGCTACGTCTAAAATATAATGCAAAAGGCAATTAATATTAAGAGAGGTATAAACAAAATCTGCTAAGGGAACAGAAATTATGTTCAGTTTTAAAAAAAAAAGGGAAAACTTAATGGAAAAGATAGAATTTGAGCTAGACATTAAAGGACTGAAGACAGAAGGGGAGAGGGGAACACTCAGAGAAAAACACGGACAAAGAAAAGATCAAAGTATAAACGCCATTCTAAGGAATCAGAATTTCTACAGAGTGAAAAACCACTGAGTTTTTCAATGGCATAATAAATTAATCAGGAATGTACTTTTAAGATTTCTCTCTCAGCATCTGTAAAGAGGGTGTGTCTGGGTAACTGAACTGACAGTTTCTGTGGGCAGGGGGTTGGACACCAGATAAAGTAAATACAGTTAGTAGAATAATAATCTAGTCAAAAAGTAACTCAGGTCTTAAATAGGGTTGGAGCCTCTAGAAACTAGAAGGAAGAAGACAAATAAGAGTTTTATTATGGGTTCAGATAGGGCTTGCCAAGTGGCCAATTGTTGAAGACTTTTTTGTTTTGTTTTGTTTTTTAATAAAATTAGAATAAAATCCATTGCTGCCGAGTCGAGCGAGTCCGACTCAGAGTGACCTTAAAGGACAGAGTAGAACTGCCCCATAGGGTTTCCAAAGCTATAACCTTTATGGAAGCAGACTGTCACATCTTTCTCCTGAGGAGTGGCTGGTGGATTCAAGAAATTTAAACAGTACAGAATGACATTAAAAAGTAAGTCTCCCGTCTCATTTTCAGTCTTGTAATATAATCAATTTTATTTATTTCTTCAATATACACAGACTGTTAAACATGTACTATAAAGAACTTCTTGATCATGTATACAAAGAGAGAAGAAGAATGTTCATTTTGGAATAATTTATAATGGCTAAAAATTGGAAACAAACTAAATATTCAACAACAGGAGAATAGATTAATAAATAGTATAAATGCTAAAATGAATGAAGTAAGGCTACATGTATCAATATAGATAAATGTAAAAAAATATTAACTGAAAAAGTAAGTTGCAGAAGGAAAGTTATAAAATATCAGTATTAAGATTAAACAGGTGAAGATAATACTATATACTGCAAAACAATATATATTAATTAAAGTATAAACATACATGTACAAGAATCACCAACACCAAATTCAAGAGGAAGGACAGGAAATGTATTTGTTGTTTCACTTCTTTAAAAATAAGATGAGAAGCATATGTGGATATGACAAAAATGTTTTATTGGTCTTTATAATTTCATTTTTAATTGAAATATTAGAAATATTAGAAAAAAGCTTATATTAAATACTAAATGCATTAAAAGTACCCGTGTATAATCTACTAAGTAATTCTTTTAAATATCAACTCATGAAAATCTATTTCATTCTAGCATTATTTATCACCCTACTGACCTCTGCTGGTCCAACAGGGGAGAAGACACTGCAGATGTCTTCCTGTCTTTCTTGCTAGCTGAAGATGACTTGGGGCTTGATTTTCGCTTTGGAGATTTGCTAGACTTTCTTAGAGAAGGTGATGGAGACAATTTTGATCTAATCATTTCTGGTGAAACCTTTTTAAAAAAATTCAGTAAGTCAATTCAGAAACTCCTCCGATCATGCTTGTTATAATGAGACAACAAAGCATATATTTCCAGATCACACTAAACTTCAGATTAAATATTAAGTTCTACTATAGCCAGAGCCCTGGTGGCACAGTGGTTAATACCTCAGCTGGTAACCAAAATGTCGACAGTTTGAATCCACCAGCCGCTCCTTAGGAACTCTATGGGGCAGTTCTACTCTGTTCTACAGGGTCACTACGAGTTGGGATCGACTCGACAGCAAAGGGTTTGGTTTTTTGGTTATTATAGTCACCACCTAGTGGTGTTATTCTGACTCCAGAACCCAAGCTTTTAACCAATATGCAACTTAACTGCCCTACAATAACATTAATACCAGAAAAGCAAACTAAATTTATGAAATTTCACAATCTCCTCTGAAAAATCACAAATTATATTCAAATGAATTATATACCTCTACTCTTTAGACAAGAAACAAGGTATTCTAGAAATAGCATGGGTCTGAAGCAGAGATTCAATTCAAATTCTATTTTACGCTAGCTAGTGACTCTAGGCAACAGAGGCTGTTTTGTTCACCTGTACAATAACAAAATTGCTTCCTATTTATCTAATAGATTGATATAAGACTAAATAATACATTAAGTAACTGACATATAGTAAGTTGATTAATGTATCAAAATATCCTAATACAACCTAAAGATGTACCAAACAGTTAATGAGTTTTCTTTTCAACATCTACCTACACCGATATCACTAGCAGGCATTTTAATAAACAGCATACCTCCTTTTTAATGATAATTTCTTCTCTCTTCTCCATGTTTTCTTGTTCAAGCTTCATTAATTCTCTCTGTATCTTCTGACGCTTCATTTCCAATGACAATTCATGAACGTAATCATAATTAATATCTCCATTGTCAGAATCTTTAAAATAAAAATTTCATTACCTGTCAGAAACTACCATAATTATTCACAACCAAAAATAAACAAAATTTATTCAATTAATTTTTAAAACAAATTTAAATGGTGGGTTCTTTCATTAGGATAACAAATTTATAAAAGATGGGAGAAATATATAATATTTCTATAAAGGACTAAAATCACCATGGCTGATTTCTTTATAAATATTCCAACAACTCTAAAGTTTCTGGAACTGGTCTTTTTCTGGAAGTGATTTTGGGTTGTCTGGAAGTTGGGTTTTTTGTTAGGAGATGGGAATTAAAAAGATACAATTAAGTCACTCAGTTGTATAGTCTAAACGTTAAAGACACCAACCCTTCAACAGTTCATGCTGTAAGGATATGATTTATTGTCTCTTTATTTTCTTAAAGATTCATTAGTATTACAGAAACACTGCTGCTATAGTTTTGTCCTTTTTTTTAATTACTGAGAAAACTAATTTGTATCTAAAGTTAACTACTTTGAGAAGGCGAGGTCAAGATGGCAAAGTAGTTAGATGCTTCCTATATCCCTCTCACAACAAAGACCTGGAAAAACAAGTGATTTGATTCTATATGAATATCTAGGAGCCCTGAACAAGGCAAAGTTGAGGAATCGGACTGAGTGATGGGGCGGGGGAGAGGGAGATGGTTTGGAAGAAGCGAAGAGTTCCAGAGCCACGGCAGCGAAACTGCAGCTCTGCAGCCACACCGGTCCACCGTGAAGCAGGCAAACAGCTGTGCTGTGCCGGTGCTCAAGAAGCAGTTTCCACATCGAGAGAGACCCGGAAGCAGAGATCCTACGTGGACACTCTGAACCAGTGAAAAGCAGCTAAGTGGCTAAGATAAGTACATGTGTGCGGCCTTTCGCAGGGATTAAAAAAATAAATGAATAAATAAATAAATAAAAGCCCATTTGGGAAAAACCTCTCTCCCTTTTACCTCCTCCCTCCACACTCTGCACCGGGAGCCCGCTGGGCCGCAAGTAGATCCCAAAAGGCACCCTGACCCATTCTCCTGGCCTTGGAGAGGGTACAAATAAGCTACTGGTTCCCCTAAGCCAGGAACACAGGGTAGGCAGAGCTCCTTTGCTAGGCACAGGTATAAGGGGTCTGCAGACTCTGAGTGCCTTACACCCCTGTATAGACTTGTGGGGACCCATCTCAACAGTGTTAGCCCTCACTACCACAACAGGGCAAACATCTGAAGTTCAATCTCAATTGCTTCAGCTGTGAACTGGCAGATTTGTGACCTTCAAAACAGCTGTGCCCCTTGAGTAGGCACTTTTACTGATCTGCAACAGGGGCTTGAGGACTGGTGGTATCACCTAAAGCTCCTAGTCACCTGCTACAGGAGTCCAAGAAAAAGTGGTGTCCTCGAGTCTTTACAGCCAACAGAGTGGGGTGCTCATAATCCGGCTGCAAAACTCACCTACCTACTCACCCTAGAGAATAGGGACACGCTTTCTTTTCAGACTCTCAGGGGCAGCCGTCAGCCCCCTGCCTGGCTCAGCATGTGATCCCCTACCACAGCCAGAGTCCAGTACCTGCACCAATCACCCATGCCTCTCTAGGACTGGGGGTGAGAGCCTGCATCACACACTTGGTGACAGACTGCCTGGAAACCTGAGCTGAATCCATACAGAAAAATTTAACGGACTCCTGTGTGCACATACTTAGTTACAGAACTAGTGACAGGACGTTAGAGATTCAAAGGTGTCAAAAATCAAACTAGTGTACATGAGCAGCCTACTTGGGCATATCAAAACAAAACAAAACAAGAAGTCAGGACTCACTAAACAAATACAAAATAAAATCATTATAAATTATTGATGGCTCAGAGACAACAGTCAATATCAAATCACATAAGAGGCAGTCCATGATGGCTTCAGCAAGCTCCCAAAATAAAGAATGAACAAATTATCTGGAGGAAGAAAACTTCTTGGAATTACTGGCAGCAGAATACAAAAGATTAATATACAGAACACTCCTAGAAATTAGAAAGGAAATTTGACAGAATGCATAAATAGCCAGGGAACACAAAGACAAAGTAGTAGGGGAACTTAAAAAACTTATTCAAGAACATAATGACAAATTTAATAGGCTGCAAGAATCCACAGAGAGACAGCAATCAGAAATCCAGAAGATGAACAATAAAATTTCAGAATTAGACAACTCAATAGAAAGCCATAGAAGCAGAACTGAGGCAATAGAAGTTAGAATTAGTGACACTGAAGATAAAGCTCTTGATGCTTTTTTTGAGCAAAAATCAGATAAAAGAATTAAAAAGAATGAAGAAACTCTAAGAGTCATGTGGGATTCTATCAAGAGAAATAATCTACGAGTGACTGGAGTACCAGAACGGGGGGGAATAACAGAAAATACAGAGAAAATTGTTGAAGATTTGTTGACAGAAAACTTCCCTGATATCATTAAAGATGGGAAGATATCTATCCAAGATGCTCACTGAACCCCACATAAGACAGATCCCAAAAGAAAGTCACCAAGACATACTGTAATCAAACTTACCAAAACCAAAGATACAGAGAATTTTAAGAGCAGCTAGGGATAAAAGAAAAGTCATCTATAAAGGAGAGTCAATTAGAACAAGCTCGGACTACTCAGCAGAAACCATGCAGGCTAGAAGGCAATGGAATGACATATACAAAGCCCTGAAGGAAAATAACTGCCAGCCAAGAATTACATATCCAGCAAAACTGTCTCTCAAATATGATGGCAAAATTAGGGCATTTCCAGATAAACAGAAGTTCAGGGAATTTGCAAAAACCAAACCAAACTTACAAGAAATACTAAAGTGAGTCCTAAGGTTAGATAATAACACCACATAACAACGCAAGACTGGAACACAGGACAGAGCAACCAGATACTGACTCACATACGGATATCGAAAATACATCGAAGCTCAAACACGGAAAATAGGGAAACAGATATCAATATGTAAAAAAGGACAACATTAAAACAAAAACGAGGGACTTAAAAAATGGAGACATTGATTTTTCATATGTAGAGGAAATTAAGGCAATATAAAGTAATAAAAGACTGGTATAAACTTAGAAAAACAAGGGTAAATATGAAGGTAACCACAAAGGAATCTAACAATCCTACAAATCAGAATAAAAAAGTTGAAAAACATAAAGTCCCAGCAAACACAAAATCTACAACAAAGAAAAAGATGGAAAAAAAAATACACAAAGAAAAATGAATCAGCACAGAAAATCGAGAACAAAGAAACTGTGAACAACACACAAAAAGAGATATCAGTATGACAGCGCTAAAGTCATACCTATCAATAATTACGCTGAATGTAAACGGACTTAATGCACCAATAAATAGACGGAGAGTGGCAGATTGGATAAAAAAGCATGATCCATCTATATGCTGCCTACAAGAGACGCACCCTAGACTTAAAGACACAAACAAGCTAAAACTCAAAGGATGGAAAAAATATATCAAGCAAACAACACTCAAAAAAGAGCAGGAGTGGCAACATTAATCTCTGACAGAATAGACTTTAAAGGAAAATCCACCACAAAAGATAAGGAAGGGCACTAGATTATGATTAAAGGGTCAATACACCTGGAGAACACAACCATAATAAGTATTTACGCACCCAACAACAAAGCTCCAAAATACATAAAACAAACTCTAACAGCTCTGAAGAGAGAGATAGACAGCTCCACAA